CACATGTTTTAAAAGTTTAAATCAGATAATAATTCTGTAGTTTTCGTGATAAAAATAAGATTTTGTTACACCCAAAACCATAACCGTGACATTCTTTCAATCTATTCATCGGCAAAATTATCTACTTAAGAAACCATTGAACGTTTTACGCGCCAATATAGATATTAATTATATTTTTTGAACTTCAGCATGTCATTGCTGTCAGAATTTCTTTACATTATTATTCAAGAGCAGATGTCACTCATATTATATGTGTTATATACCATTTTATCATATATATACCCCCGGTTGAGCAATTAACTGACTGGCAACGTTGTTGTTGTTCTTAGTGTTTAACGTCCGCTTCTACCGAAGGTGATATCGCAGACCAGTCTTATATTTCATTTTTATTATTTTAGCACACACGCAGGGGTATTTCCTGTGGGAGGAAACCGGAGTACCCGGAGTAAACCCACGAGGTTAAAAAGGCGCCCCTATCTCCAAGTCACACACGCTCACACTAAGGATGGAAACCACAACCGCAAACCAGAGGTGACCGGCCAGATAGAGAGGTCCAAGCGAGGCCATCCCACCCCCCTACTGGTAAAGGTACTATTTTGATCTTATATACTTGACAGGCAAAATCTAAAAATTAAGACCCACTGCAGCTTTCGACAAGGTAACGTGATGTAAATAGTGTTAGGGCTAGCCTTGCTTACATCTCGTGACCTTTAACCAAATCTGTAGGGCTTAAATTTTAGAACTAGCCATCATAAGATGGAGATTGATATTCATTTGGATGATAGAGACTAGTAGTTTCTAAAGTGTTTTTATTCGGGAACCCACTGGGTCATATTACAAATTTTGGGGGACATACCACATCAATCTGAACGACAGACCCAACCTACCTGCAGAGAAGTGACTCTGACCCAGCCAATTGCCATGATATCCATATGACGTTATCTAAACGTCACAAGTCATGAGTTCAACGCACTACTTCTTGTACCGGAAGCTCAGCTGGTAAACAAACAAACGAAAGTTTTAATGGTTTCGACGAATAGAAAAACATTTAATTACGTACGATACGACATCTGAGTTTACTCTGCTCAATCATATTCCCATATTTTCACAAACATCTTTGATAAATCGAAACAATTTCATACCCATTACTATCTTCCTTCACGTACGCGGGGGGTTGGATGGTCGAATGGTTAGCACGTGCGCGCTGTATCATAAGGTCTGTGATTGAGTCAACTGGCGTGGTTTCGATTCCGCGGTTATACGTGACCCCGTTGACTTAGCGGACACCCCCCCCCCCCCCTTCCCCATAATGTTGCCTGGTTCCCAGGTTGGAAAACGGTGAACTATACATGATGCCAGGTATATAAAAATTTAAAGGTTGCAAAACTGGCTCTCTTAAAGTACCTCATAATATATAAATATATTTCTTGTGTTTTTTTTTTTAAAATCGTGACTGTCGAGAAAGTATGCTTTTTATTATACGCCTGATGAAATTTGACTGCAATCCGTGTGTACATCAATATTTAAGATCATTTCATAAAATAAACTGTTAAAAAAACCAAAAAATACAAAATAAAAATAATAATAAAAAACAAACAATGCGTGTCCTTAAGTCAAGGGTATTTTGATTTTGAAGGTAAATCGTGCATAAATTCTGCTTACATCAATATACGTGTCAAATTGTACACTTGTAATGTTCTATTTTTGTTTGAAAAATGATGAGATGAATATTTTGTACTGACAGGCCCATTCTAGTTTATTCATTGAACACACAACAAAAAGTCACCCGGATCTTTCAAATGTGTACAAGGTCGCGAGGGGGGGGGGGTTCTCCAGGGTTCTACGGATGGGACGCTGGCACGCTATTATGGAGGTCTCGGATTCACTCCCGGTATTGGCCGATAATGTTCCTCGGGATTTTCCGTCGTGGTTTCCCTTGTTAGTGGTGTAGGACGAAGGGACTGACATGGTCAACTGTCCAGTCGTTCGGATGGGACGATGTTTCCCGTGTAAGCATTGGCGTGCACGTAAAAGAAGCCCTGACAGTTGGAATTCAATATAAGAGTAGGTCGTAGAGCCGCTGGCCGGGAAAAATTTCCCTTATAGCGAGTCAACATCTTACCCACTGAGCCGCCGCGACTCCAAGTATATCGGATCTGAGTATACTATTTCTGCCTAGAATAACCTTACTATCTGTGTACACCAAAGGGACCAAATAATACCTATTTATTATTATCGAAACCCGAGCATAGAGAAGTTATTCTCATTGGTGAATTATAAATAATTTGGTGATAATACCCCTTTTCCGGGGAGAACAAATATTCCAGTTTAAAATAGATGATATTATATTATGTTTATATTCAGTAACAAATGTATTGTGAAATGTGTAATCGGCTTCTTTACAAATATTCCTCAAATGGATCTTAACTTAAGGTTTGTCATTCAGTCAAGTGGCGTGGTTTCGACTCTCCGGTTGTACGTGACAAGGAGTGGGGTCCAACCTCGTGTGTTGTCTCCGGGTCCTCCGGTTTCCTCCCACTGCCATAAACCCCTACGCACAAGGAAATCATTAGAAAAAATTAAACCATGTGTTAGTCCGAAATAACAGATATCCCCAACCGGTCACATCAATCTGTTTCACAGAGGATTATGAAAGTCTTCTAATATCTCTGTAAAAGATGACTACCTTCAACACGTGACGTCTCATCACGCGGCGTCAATCATTGGCTCAATAGCGCGTGCATTGTTTACATAAGACCTAACTGGTTCGGGCAGAATGGAGCCTTTTACTCATTTAATACCCATTTACACAAAATAGGAAATAATTTTTAACTACAAATACCTCAAACGTCTATATTTATTTTTCGAATACATACAAAATTTTTTTTAGAATTTAATTTGTCGCAGGAAAAAAGTTAATATTTGTGGCTCATTAAGTCGCATCGATGTCATCCTTATCAGTGATTGTCGCGGCCTAGCGAATATTCGCTGCTGATCAGTGTGCGGTCACAAGAACTTTTCGACTAAGTGAGCTGAAAATCGACGGTGTATCTGTTATCGCTCTCTACTTTTTTGCGTCAGTTCGTAATTCTTCAAATCTTTGTTACGGATCAACCGTAGCAACGATTTATATGCTAGAATTATGTTTATGTTTGGAATGTGGGTTATCAGGTCTAACATATACCATGTTCCTAAAACAACGACTGCGAGTTTTACAACATCTGGCCGTTGCTTGATTACTTCACAATTCACGAACTTATAGCTATGTTATCTACAGACACGTGAGCAGTAGCGTCCAATCAGAGGTTTTGACATCGCGACCTCCACGGAAACGTTGACATTGAATGAACCTTGAACTTTGCAACTCGATTATCACAGGTAGACATTTTAGCTTGAAAGCGCGAGACTTGGTATTCGCGACGATAGAGGAATCTGATAGGCTCACGAAATTAGAGCCGAAATATGCAGGGTATTATGTGAATACCTTGATAAGATGCAAGTAGTTAAAGAGAGATCAAGCCTTATATTGAAAATTAACACATATATATATATATATATATATAATATTGGCTTGCACAACATTGTCTTTTAATACGTACCGACTAATACTTATTTAACTTCCAGTACTCTGTGACGTGGAGATGTATAGTTTAATATGATGGAAATCCACAAACAGGAGTGTCCGTCCATAAAACTACGACTCCCCTCATGTAAAGGGAAATTCACACACACGAGTGTCAATCAAGGAAATGACGTAATAATTTCCCTAATATGATTGTCACGGTGTACAAATTACAGACCCGCGTAACTCTTTCATGTTGTAGACGTAACAAACTGGTTTTGTCATCCATGGACAGCGGCGCTACGACCTACTTGTATATCGAATTCCAACTCCCAGAGAATCTTTTACGTCAACGCTAGACAATGTTCCTTGTCAGGGTTTGGTAAAGAAATCGAGTTGTTAGCGTAGTAAGGCTGGATTAGGCGGTGGGTGGGTTTTGCTTAGTGGGTGGTGGGGGTCCTCCAATGGAATTAAATTTTTTTTACGATATTGATTTGGATATTGATTGAAATTGACAGGTTTGCAGCCACAAAGGAGAAAAGGCGGATGCGTTTCATTTATCTCCCGTTAAATCTGCTGTACGTTTAAGTATACTACTGTTCTCACAACCGCTTGTTATTCGATCAACACGTAACAAGCGTCCCTACGTCACTCGAACATACATCACGCCGACAGGTTGCCAGTTAGAGATACCCTAACATTTTTGTCCTGTGCGCCCCATGTGTGTTTTTCAGGAAATCCAATATTTTTCTAGTAAGGTTAAGCTATGGCAAATGTAGTTACATTGAAAGTAGGGTCCTCTTCCGATATGGAAGAATTGGCAACTAAACGTATATTTGAACACATCTAAAATAGTTATCACCCGGTCACCATTCCTACCCAAATTTGCTAAAGTGTCTTTAGTGGATTGGCTGAAGAAGTAGTATATTAGAAAAAAAAAAAAAATCTAATACCCCCCCCCCCCAAAAAAAAAAATAATCAATAAATAAAAACTCAACCAAAACAATATATCGGGCAGATGAATGAAAAGGATGACGTCATCTACCTTTTCTAGCCATATACATGTATACTGTATAACACCCTACCCCTACTTCAACACACACAAATAAATAAAATGCAATCAGCAGCTATCTTATAAACCGGTTTCTAATTTCATGCCTTGAAAATTTTACACGTTGTTGTTTCCAGCCCACAAAAGCGTAACCGTGAAACATCATATCTCTGTATCAATGATGTTATTTTTTTAGCATGGCTCAAGATCAATTAGAATTGCTCTTCTATTTTCTGTTAGTGAGTCAGCTCTCAATATGCCCGCCCCCTCCAACAATCAGCTGTCACTACCCGGATACATGTAATATTTTTGACTACATTGTGTTCCTAATATGGTCAAGCTACGTCCTGTTTTGAGACATAACTAATAAGTATATAAGTCGATGGATTTAACAAATCTAAGTCAGAATTTCAAGAGACGTGTAAGTTGTAGGAACACTCGTCTCTTCTTCAAATTATCAAGATGTCTACCAAATTAATGTTAATTGTCTGCCTGTTTTTGGTCGGTCTGTTTAATGACGTATCTTCTGAGACGTGAGTTCTGGTTTATTTAATTATTTATTAAAAATCGCAACAGAAAATGCTTAACGTCTGCTTCAACGGTAATAATAGCGCAAACATATCTGTCTGTGTTAATCCGAGTTTTAATAAAACTAGGAAATATCACGAACTAACTTTTCATCATCCTAGGTCAGTGCTTATGTGGAGACTTAACCTCTCCCCCAAATTCTTAAACCTAACCTACAATCTGGCGAACAATCACTTGCCCTAACCTTATGTACATTTCAGCGACCTTGACAAAAACTGAACTGGCCTTAACAAATAGATTTAGCGGTGGTCAGAATAGTTTGAATCTCGATTGTTAAGTATTGTTATAGACTAGATTATACGGTACTCGGTTTCTAATTTTAACTTGTCAAAATTGATTTGCTATACGCTTACATCCACCGCGAGAGATTATTAAACCTACATTTTAAGATTTTTAGTCATCTTAATCTTAATTGTACAAATGACCATTACTTTTGTCCTTAATAATTTAAAACATTTAATGATTTTCCGTCATATTTACTGCTCGTACAAAATACACTTTTCTATGCAGGTCAGTGTTTGGAATTTGCTATAAGTTGGGGAGCCTAAGATCATATTAAATACTATCTAAAATTAATTATATCCTTGTGACAATGTCTTTTTAGATTAATCACGAGTCTTAGTTATTGTCCCCCGCCTTTCGAAGAAAGCAGGGGACTATTAAAATGGGTTCGTCGGTCCGTCTGTCTGTCCGTCCGTCCGTCCGTCTGTCTGTCCGTCACACTTTTTGGGACACAATAACTCTCCTTCTAATTGACCTAGAATGTTCAAACTTGGTGTAGGTGTTTATTAGGTCAATGCCTTGATGGAGTTCGAAGATGAGCATTTTCTACTTAGGGTAAGCAGAGATAAGCGATTTGATTGGTTGATGCTTTGGGACACGATAACTTTAGTTCTAATTAAGTGAGAGTGATGAAACTTGGTGTATAGTTTCATTACACCAATACCTTACTAAGTTCGATAATGAGCATTTTCTGCTCAGGGTAAGCAGAGCGATAAGAAATTTGATTGGCCGAGACTTTGGAACACAATAACTCTCCTTCTAATTGAGGTAAAATGTACAAACTTGGCGTAGGTGTTTATTAGGTCAATGCCTTGATAGAGTATGAAGATGAGCATTTTCTGCTTAGGGTAAGTGGAGATAAGCAATTTGATTGGTTGATGCTTTGGGACAAGATAACTTTAGTTCTAATTAAGTGAGAGTGATGAAACTTGGTGTATAGTTTCATTACATCAATACCTTGCCTAAGTTCGATGATGAGAATTGTCTGCTTAGGCTAGGAGCAATAAGCATTTTGATTGGTCAAGACTTTGGAACATAACAACTCTGCTTCTAACTTGATGTTGATGTTCGTCTTGACCGAATTCAATGATTAACATATCGAGCTAAAGCTAAGCAGAGATAAGCAATTTCCTTGGTCGATGCTTTGGGACAAGATAACTTTGATTCTATCTGATAGAGAGTGATGAAACTTAGTGTATAGTTGATAATCAGTTTGATTGCTCGATACTTTTGAAAAAAAATAGATGTGCGATTAATTAATATGTGTCATCTATTTATTTGGGGATTTCGGCGGGGGACATCAGCCTCACTGTTGGCTTGTTTATATTTATTTCCATTTAATGCCTCTTTAAATTTTTTTGCTTAATTTAATATTTAGCATTTAATACAGTCTCTAAGTATTTAAATAGATGGTATTTGTGGCCAGAGTGATGACGTCCCTTTAAATCGTATTCGAGACTTGTTTATTTAGTATTTAAAACTGTTTTAAGGATTTAAAGGGAGTAAACCTCTAACTCATTTTTTCTTCATAATATTCGAAATTGAAAACACGAATTAAAATTTAATATTGGTCAATTTCAATCAATATTGATGTTGCTGTTAGACCCATTTTCGTCAATTTTAAGGATCCAAAGGATACAACCATGCGCCTTTGAATTAATCATATTTAGTTCCTTAGAGTGATAGTACCTCTTTAAATTGTGCACGAGTCTGGTTATTTAGCATTTAACAAAGTTTTAAGTATTCTAATTAACTATATTTGTTTCCTTAGCTAGAGTGATAGCCCCCCTTTAAATTGGCCACGTGTATAGGGTTTTGAGTATTCAACACGGTTGTTGCTATATATCATATAATTTAGTATAACTTAACGTCAGTATGTCAGTACACGGGGGTATTGATCTTGATTATTATTCACTAAACGAGTCACACTCTTTAACATAGTGTCCAACATAATAGAACAACATATGAATATATCAATGAAACTGATCGGATGACAAAACTAAAAATAGTAACAAAACGTAATGGGAAAACCCTCGGTATTTCTGTACTTCAGTAATGGAGAATTAGTCAACCAATACTCGTTGGCCATTCTGATTTCTATGTTCAACTTTTTTTGTTTACGTTAACGTTAACGTACATACCGGTTGACCTCGATTACTCTAAAAATATAGTCTATATGCGGGTGAACCTCGATTTTCAATCTATTCGAAATTCTACGCCCTTGACAATTTGGACGCAGGATTTAATTTTGAATGTCAGAAGGAATGAACGTGAATGTGGTTTAACATCCTGATTTTATCCACCGACCGGGATAATGAAGACGGGTATATGCCATGATATGCCGATATAAGGGACAGCGGCTCTACGGTTATTCTTTTACGTGCACCCCAACAACAGATTGGAAATTGAAACTCTCTCTCTGCTTGACGATGGAAATTGAAACTCTCTCTCTATCTCCCCTCTCTCTGTCTCTTTCTGCTTTACGATAAATTATGTAATTTATTAACTATTTTGTAGATGTACGTTTATCTTCTACCGACAAGTGAAGACTGAAATAAGATGTGGGCGGTTTGGTTGGCAAATATGTACACAATACAAGTACGTACATCTTCTTAACCCGTCAAGCGTGACGTTTTTAAAACGTTAACTACCCCCTATTGTGTAATTCATTTGACAAAGTGACGAAGAACTATGTACTATGTTCTAAGAATAGGTTGGGGAAAATACCTCCAAGGCGTTATATTACGCCCTACACACAGTGAGTGGCAGTTGTTCCGGACGTAATAAAACGCCCTACACATGTTGCGATTGTGGGGGAATTCCCAAGGGATTCCTCCAAGTGACGAACTATGTTCTAAGAATAGGATGGGCAAAATACCCTCAAGGCGTTATATTACGCCCTACACACACTGAGTGGCAGTTGTCCAGGACGTAATATAACAACCTACGCATTTAACGGGTTAATATTGTCAAAATTTCAGTTATCCATAAAATATTCAATTTATTTATAAAATCATTTTAAAGTGTGGACATGATGCTTAGAATATGTATATTGATACAATATCATTCCATGCAATACTCTGGCCAATATATTGACATAAAAACGTCATTGTCGGTTCTTGTCGGTGATTAAATAACGTTAACGATGTATTATGTAAGGGCTAAATATGCCTAATGTCGATCTCTGGTTTGGTCATAAATGTTATATAAATCTTTAATTAGACATTTATTTACATGCCAAGTCCATAGTCAACTCTCTAGAGCATCGGATAATTTTGATTTTCTTCGGATTTAAACACGATTGCCAGTTAATGATTTGAGTTTAAAAGTTGACAACTGAGACTTTGTTTATTATCGTCACAAACGTAGCAATGACACCCGAGACTACACCGTTCTTGAAACGACCATAACTCCGCACAGAATGAAATTTTCATTATTTCATTATTTATTTTTTGATTTGTTTTTAACAGGACTGTTTCAAGTACCGGTACACGACCATGCAGTAAGTAAAACATATTTTATGTTTTGTAAATGAAATGAAATCAAGGGTTTAAAATCCTACTGTTCCGGCTTTCAGCGATTTTTCTTTAATTTTGGCTGACATGAACCATAAAGATGTATAATGAAGGGCTAAAAGATTTTAAAATGAACTTGTTACACCAAATAAAGAGACAGCTTCTCTTTTTTTAATGGAAGGGTGATGATAAATCTATTTGGTTCAATGAATGGGGAGCCATAAATCTATTTAGTTGAATGAATGGGGGAGCCATAAATATATTTGGTTGAATGAACGGGAAGCGATAAATCTATTTGATTGAATGAATGGGGAGCAATCAATCTATTTTAATCCTGTATTAAATGCTGTCTATAAGTAAATCCGGATCTGGCACCGTTTTTTGAATGGGCGAGAATCAATCGGATTAAAATACAGATCCACATTTCTGGAGTGGTTTCCCCTTGTCAGTAGTGCAGGAAGGAGGGCCTGGCACCTTTCCTGTTTATTTGATTAGGCTATGCTTATTCTTTCTGGAACATCTGACCTGACGTTTTGGTATATTGGAGGAGTTAACATTGCTAGACATTCTTGCTGTGTATAAAGTACTCATGTTTTGTATTTCAAACTAAAAAAATAAAAATAAATAAACATCATAGATAAATACTATGTCCTTTGAAATCCAAATCTACCACGCCTGCTTCCGGTAGCGCATGCGTAGGCTATACTTATTCTCTGTGGAAAATTTGACGTCACGTCTTCTATATTGGAGGAATTAAGCTAGCATTGCAGTGCTTTTTTGCTTTTTTTTTATAAACTTTTTATAACTCTGGTTATTTCAAAATCAAGAAATATGGACATCGTCTCATCACAAGGTTTTCGTTTGTTTCAGATATGACAACAACTACGTCCATTCCAATTAACGGTGGGTGGACAGAGTTCGAAGAAACAGAAATAACGGAATGCTCTGCTTCTTGCGGAAACGGAACCCAATATCGAACGCTGACCCGCAACTGCACGAACCCGGCACCGTCCAACGGTGGTTCCGACTGTGAGGGAAACGCCACAAGAATCGAGATTATTTACTGTAATAGCCAGACTTGTCCAGGTACGTGTAAATATTTTAAAATATTGATTTAGTTAGAAAAAACGTGATGAAGTGGGTTATAGAGAGCTTGGCCAACTGCAGTCACGGTCTCCATTCTGTTACCCAGAATGATTGATCGAACAAATGACCCGCTTTAAATTATATGGTCTGGCATTGAGTCAAGTGGCGTCTTTTCTTTCCAAAGCTTGAACGTGACAAGGGTCTAGGTTGCCTGTCTACCAGGTGGCTTTTGTCCGGGTCAGGCGCTTTCCCCACCCACGCAAAATCATGGGTCACCGCGCCCTTGAAGGTGGGTGACTGGAGAAATGACATGGGCTTAAGCTTACGGCCATCTCTCTCTCTCTCTCTCTCTCTCTCTCTCTTGATATCTTAATTATGTTACTCTTTGCAATTCGTAGTCAATGGTGGATGGACTGAATATCAAGAAACCGGAAATAGAACAGAATGTTCTACGTCATGTGGAACTGGTACTCAAATTCGAACACTGAGCCGCAATTGCACAAACCCAGTCCCTTCTGGTGGTGGTCTAGATTGTGAGGGCGATTCAACTATAACGGAAATGGTTAATTGTACGGGAGAACCATGCCCAGGTAGGCCAAAATTCAACCTCTTTCTCAGCCTTGTTAATTATATAATTTAAATAAGAACTTCGCTTGGGTCATAGATAAAACCCTGGTCACAAAGAAACAGCATATGTATTCATTTTAGGCAGGGACGGAATGGGGGACCGGGCATCAACTCCTCGGCCCGTGACGGGTTTCCAATCTCTAAAAAGGGACTCTACTCAGGCGTGAAATTAATTTTTTTTTAAACAAATTTAGGGTGTGACAATTTTACCAATTCATCACAGGCCTCCAAGCTAAAAGAAAATATTGGCCGGCAAACTACGCGCAAACACTAACTTCTTTTGGGTCCTCTGATACCACCATACTCATTTTCAGTCCAACCTTGACTTTCGATAGCGTTGTTTTAGTTCTGGGTCATATTCAATACCAGATTGATGCAATATCTGAATACAGTTGGGTGACCTGATGGTTTAACGCGTGTGCGTTAGATCATAAGGTCTGGCATTGAGGCAAGTGGCGTAGTTTGGGTTCCCAGCTTCTACGTGACAAAGATTAGGATCGCCTGTCCCAACCTCGAGGGGTTTTTTCCGGGTCCGATTTCCTCCCACAGGAAATATTGAAATAAAAATTCAACCATATGTTAGTCAAGAAATTAGCTAGTTTGTGTCGAGTGGACGTTTAACCCCATTTCTCTTTCTCACTCTCCTCACTCAAGCAGATAAGTAGGACATTAAACCCCATTTCATTTCTGTATTTTCGTACATTTTAACAGTACATGGTGGTTGGTCCGACTGGTCTGAATGGGAAGAATATGACGAATGTAGCGCCCTCTGTGGTACCGGCAAAATGGACCAATGGAGGACAAGAACTTGTAATAATCCCGCCCCTGCTTTTGGCGGTGCCGATTGTATTGATGTTAGTTTGGAGAACAGAACTGTCGAATGTAATACTGACGACTGTGGAGGTATGGTATCTCTTTATATACGCTTTAAACAGGAACTTAAAGATGAATTATGCAAGAGCTACATCTTCTTATTGCAGGTCTTTTCTGGCATCAAATGCTATATAAATTATTATTTAGATATTTATTCACATGGTAGACCCGTAATCAACTCTCCGGATGGCCTTTATTTTAAATTTATCGGTTCACGTTAGTATGGATGCCACCCATCGACTATTTCTTGTCAAAACTTCAAACACGCATAACTTTGCTCAGATTAAAGTAATTTGACTGAAATTCTCAATTTATTCATATTTAAGTATAGCATTTTGAACGAACAGCTCTCTAAGTCTTACATAATGCATCTATGATCGAGCATTACTATATTCAGCACCCTGGGGGGGGGGGGGGCTGAATGGTTAGCGTGCGCGCGCTGTATCATAAAGTCTGTCATTGAGTCGACTGGCGTGGTTTCGAATATCCCGGGTTGTACGTGACAAGGAGTAGGGTCGCCTGTCCAACCTCGTGGGTTTTCTCCGGGTCCTCCGGTTTCCTCCCACTGCTAAAGACCCCTACGCGCAAGCGAATTATTGAAATAAAATTAAACTATATGTTAGTCCCGAAATGACCTAGTTTGTGTCGAGTGGACGTTAAACCCCATTTCTCTCTCTCTCTCTCTCAGCACCCTGGGTGCAATAGGAGCATGTCGGTGAAATCGTGACATAAATAATGTTTTCAGTTTATGTTCTTCTATAAAAATCGAACTTGAATTCATCCTAGAACAACTATTAAAATCCCCTCGAGCATTTTGCACCCTGGGCGTTCCAGTGTCCTTCCTCTGGTGGTTTTGTAGTCCCAATTCTGGAGATCTGCTGACGCTGTTACGATCTCACTACATTTATTACCGATATCATTCCATGCAAAGCAGAGTTATTTCCCCTCTTCGTGCCCAACTATTTTAGCTATGAGGAACATTTTACCCGGACAGGGCGATATGGCCTATTCTTACTTCAAATTCAAATTGATAAGGGTTCTTTTTTTCACGTGCACGCCAATGTGTACACGGGACCTTGTTTTTTTATGTCGTCCGAAGACAGGCATACACCATGCAGTGTGCTATGTTGGTGTATATGTGTGTGCAGTACCGGATTAGGGCTCGGTTGTTCCTAAAGTATATTTTGATAGGTGGCCTTAAAATAAAGCTTGTTTTCGGCAATGTTTTGTTGGTCTAGGCATGTTAATAATTATGTGAAATACATACAAATCAATTATCAGTTGCGAAATCAATAAGAAAATTAAAAAAAAATACGATATTACCTACATAAACATGTGGGAAGAGACGAAACGTCTAGTCAACCTGTTGCCGGGCAACACAAAGTATGAAAAGCTTTCAAGGACTAACGCGTAGATGAAAAAGGTTGCCATTTATTTACATACAAATAAAGGGAAGCATTTTTGTCATCACCTGTTAATTATCACATTATTTTTGCTTTATTTTTTTGTGCCCTGGATTTTTGGCTGGCGCTAAGGACACGTACCAAATGGTTAATTCGGCACCGTTGTGTGTGTGTGTGTGGGGGGGGGGGGATTTCCGTCTACCCTACGTCCAATCGCAACTGTCAGAGATACTGGACAGAGAGAAATGGGAAAACCGTCTCACTGCTCAGAGGGAACTGGTGGCTGATTTAGACTTCTAACAGTAGTTTTATTTCCTTTCAGATCTGTGTCCACTAAACGCGGTAAAATATTTCCCACATCCAAACAACACCAAGAGATTTTACCAATGTGATAACGGAGTCGCCAAACTACGGAACTGCGCCCCATCTACAGTTTGGAGCCAGGCCGTCTTGACCTGTATACACCCGTGCGTACCAGACGATGACTGCAGCAACGGCAAACCGTTAACAGCCGACCCAACAGACTGTACTAAATTCTATTATTGTAATTTTGGAGAACGATGTGGGTCAGCGGTGTCTTGTGCACTTGGTCTCGTATTCAATCGTGCTACAACGAACTGTGATTTCCCTTATAATGTACCCGGATGTGGATCTCGGTAAAGTCTGGGGTCCCGGATACTAGACACGAACGAACAGTTGACGGAATTCAGATCTGTTTAAAGATTGTCAATGTGCCAAGATGTCCTGAATGGGCGAATCTCTTAATAACAAATCCAGTACATTTTGAAACTTAATTTCCACTGTGTCTGAATCTAGATTTAGTGGAATAAAACTGGAGACAGACGCGTTGGCAAAAATAAGAAAAAAGAATTCGCAAACTGGGCGCAAAATATCGGTGGGGGACACGTCGCCCCTTCAGTCCCTTCACCAAGAAAACGCAAAGCTACAGTCCGCCTACACTTACGCCAAAAAACAATTACAATGTACATGTGTTTACCGTTACCCGAACGATCCTATTATTTGCAGCCAAAATCACCGGCCCTAAAATTGTCCGATTTTCCAGGTTTCATAAATCGGTCTTGGCCTTGGCTGTGGTTTCGTTGGCCTTATATAAGTTCAGTTGAATTAAATGGTTAAAGGATCAAATGGTTAATATTATTATTTGTATGTGATCATTTGTTGTTTTTCCAAATTGAAAATCCTCGATCGATGATGTATACAACCGAAGTTTTGTTTAAAATGTGTTTTAAATTGGCCATCCCATTTTATTCGATTAAATTTTTAAATAAGTTTTATGGGCGTTTTATGCGAAGCTATGCGTAGGCTACTAGTATTAATTTATGCTTTAAATGGAAATGTCCAGTTCTACAGTCAATCAAAACTGAGCCTTAATCAAATTAAACTAGAATATAAATTATTTCGTGCTTTGTTTATACACTGCTGGGAGAGTCCATTAATCATAGTAAACTAGAATATTCACATTTTAATTATATCATTCCATATGTATAATTTGTTTGTTAAATCCTGGGAGAGTCCATAAATCAAACTATTGCATGCTTTCCAATTGTTTATATTATCTGTATATTTGGTTAGTTACATCCTGGGAGAGTCCATTAATTAAATTATTTCCCGCTTTTCAATAGTTTATATTATTTGTATAATTGGTTAATTACTTCCTGGCAGAGTCCATTAATCAAATTTTCATGCTTTCCAATTGTTTATATTACTCGTATTTGTATACTTGGTTAGTTACGTCACGGGAGATCAATTAATTAAATTATTTCATGCTTTCCAATTGTTTATATTATTTGTATAATTGTTTTAATTACTTCCTGAGAGAGTCCATAAATTAAATTATTTCATGTTTTCCAATTGTTTATATTATTTGTATAATTGTTTTAATTACTTCCTGAGAGAGTCCATAAATCAAATTATTTCATGTTTTCCAATTGTTTATATTATTTGTATACTTGGTTAATAACTTATTGGGAGAGTCCATTAATTAAATTATTTCCCGCTTTCCAATTGTTTATATTATATGTATAATTGGTTAATTACTTCCTGGCAGAGTCCATCAATCAAATTATTTCATGTTTTCCAATTGTTTATATTATTTGTATACTTGGTTAATTACTTATTGGGAGAGTCCATTAATTAAATTATTTCCCGCTTTCCAATTGTTTATATTATTTGTATAATTGGTTAATTACTTCCTGGCAGAGTCCTTCAATCAAATTGAACTCATCGAATTATTTTATGCTTTGTTTATATGAATACTTGGTTAATTACGTCATGGGAGAATCCATTAATCAAATTACACTCACTGAAATATATTTCGTTTTTTTGTTTATATGTATGTCTAGTCGTTCGGATGGGGCGAAAAAAGAGGTCCCGTGTACAAATTGGCGTGCACGTAAAAGATCCCTTGACAGTTGACATTCGATATAAGATTAGGTCATAGTGCCGCTGCCAGGGCAAAATTTCCTCCATAGCACACTACTGTATGGCATGTATGCACATCTTCATTAGCCCAGTCAAAGCAGACCAGTAGGACGTTAAATCCCATGGCAGCATTTCATTTAATTGTCATTTCCTCCAAATATATTATAGCGACCGTCTCCTCTCAATCCGAGGGAGAGTCGTTCGTTCGTTCGTTTCTGGGGTTTTACGTCCACTTCCACCTAAGGTGATATCGTAGACAAGGATGTTTCCTAAGAAACTTACTGGAGGAAGCCGTATGGATTATGCTTTGGTCCAGTTTAATTTGAGACATAGTGTCTTAGCAGGGAATGCCCAAGTTAAAAATCTCATTGAAAGGAGCGGAGAAAGTTTTGGGGTAGAAAAGGGGTGGCGAGCGGGCGCAGTCTGGTCCGCTTGGCCATAAATGTTTCGATCTTTGTTTTGGGTGGGTAGGGGTAGGTAGGACTGTCAGCCGGGCCCAAGGGCCCCGCCGCCTGTCCGACCTAGGTTCAGGGGTGCTTGGCCGCCAATGGGTTATTCCCTTTGTCTACCCTCAGGACGAGGGTGGTATCTACCGGGGGTACTGGGAGGGTCCAGGGGGCCCTGATCGTATCCTCTATACCATTAATGGTGAGCTTATCGAGACCGTAGTCCCTAACCATTTCGCCGACTGCCTGGCCGTATGACTTCTTGGTGGGGTCCCCGACTCTTTTGAACCTCGAGATTTCGTTAAAGGCTGGACACCTTTCACCCAATCGGCTTAGTTTGGCCCAATGCCCCAGGGTCAGTTTCTTTCTTCGGAGTGACAGAGGGAGTTCGCCGACATCCTGTAGTAACGACTCGCGCTTGGCACCTAAGCCACAGCCTGTGGCAATACAAATGGCTTTGTATTGTATCGTGTCCAACTTGCTTAGTGTAACGGGTCTTGCATTTAAGAAAGCCATGCAGCCGTAATCTAATACAGGACGTATTAGAGAACGGTAGATCATCATGAGGGCAACTCGGCTTGCTCCCCATTCACGTCCCGTTATTTTCCTCATAAGGTTCAGGATGCGCTGAGTACGTGTTACCACATATTTGATGTGCGGTCTCCATGTCACTTTCCTATCAAAGATTACACCAAGGAACTTGGTTTCGTCTTTGAATTCTATGTACTGACCATTGAGCTGCAGGGACATCCGGGAAACCTCGGGATCCCTGCATACTAGCATACCTACAGTTTTCGGTGACGAGATCTGAAATCCCCAATCATTTGCCCAAGAGGTGAATCCGTCCAAGGCTCCTTGCATGCGTTTCTGAACCTGCGAATATAGACTACCCTTGGTCCATAGGGTGCTATCGTCCGCAAACGTAGCAAGCGAAATATCTTTTCCGAGATATTCTTTGATATCATTCACCATAATATTGAACAATGTTGGGCTTATAACGGAACCCTGGGGAGTTCCGTTATCCAGTCCGGTCTCTTTACTGAGGTATTTGCCGATTGTAACCCTGATTTGTCTGTCTGAGACAAAACTCTTGATCCAGTTGTACATGTTACCATGCACGCCTACCAAGGACAGTTTGTGTAACAGTCCTTCTGTCCAGACAAGATCGGAGGCCTTTGACAGATCAACAAAGATGACACAGAGATAGGATCCGCCTCTCGTGGCTGTCACCATGGCATGCTGGAGTCTGGCAATGTGATCGAATGTCGAGCGGCCTCGGCGGAAGCCGCTCTGGTTCTTGTCTAGCAGCTGGTTACTCTCTAAGTAGTATGTTAACCTATCGTTCACCAGGGTTTCAAGAGTTTTGCAAAGCGTAGACGTGAGGCTTACCGGGCGATAAGACTCCGTTTCCTTTGGGTTTTTTCCCACTTTAGGGTTTGCAACCACCGTAGCCGTACGCCACAGACAGGGTATCTCACTTTTCCGCCAAGAGAGGTTGAAGAGGTCAAGGACGATTTTCGAAGCATTTTCGGGCAGATTTTTTAGCATAGAGTACTTGACCCCGTCCGGCCCCGAGGCGCTGTCTTTTTTAGAAGATAGCGCTTTCTCGTATTCTCTCAGGGAAAAAGGGGCGTTCAGATCTGAGCGTCCAACAAGTTCTCCGCCTTTCGGCTTAAACTTTTCTTTTTGCGGATCGAAGTCTTTTTTCCTGTTGCTAAATTCGGGCGTAAGGTTGTTATTGCTACTCGCCATAGCAAATGTTTTAGCAAGAAGTTCGGCCTTTTCTGCGCAGTTCTGGGCCACTTCTGCTTTGTAACAGAGAGTCGGTGGGCAAGCCGTCCTAGTCTTACCATTCATAGCATTAATCTTCTGCCACACCTCTTTAGAGTTTGAATTTGCATTCAGGGACTCGCAGTAGGCGTGCCAATGTTGGGTTTGACACTGTTTTATGACGTCTCTTGCCGCATACTTTGCCTTTAGGTATGCGGACCACGTGGCCGGAGAGAGGTGGCGTTGGCACTTGCGAAGGCATCTACGACGTTCCCGTACTGCGACTTGACAAGAATCGGACCACCAAGGTTTTCGAGGCTTAACAGATTTGGAGCTTGACATGGGGATAGAGGCCGTAGCTGCCTCTATTATAGCACTGGTTACGTTCGTGGCATACTTTTCAGTATCCTCCGTAACCAGTTTCTCTTCCCTCCACTCACGACAGAGTAGGTTGAAGCTGCCCCAGTTTGCCTTAGACATTATCCAGCTTGGTCTCCGCTCTGTATCGTCCCGATGTGGCGACTTGCTAAGAGTGATCGTTATCGCCATATGATCACTGCCAAGCGTTTCGTCACACCTTGTGGTCCAGTCGCACAACGTTAAGTCTAGATGAGATGGGTTGCAGCCCGGCCTAAAGTAGGTTGGGCTGCCGTCATTCAGTCCGTTGTCTTCGATAAAGCTGTGCAGAACACTGCCTCTACGATCAGTTTTCGTTGAGCCCCACAGAGCGTGGTGCGCATTGAAATCCCCGCAAATCAAAATACGATTGTATTTGATTTGATCGTACAGGTTCTGAAATCCGTTATCTACTACCCTTTGTGGGGGTGAGTAGATATTTATCACTGCTAATCTAGAGCCGTCTGCCATATGGATTACTGCGCCCTGTCCTTCCAACTCCGTTACATTGAGCGGTAGCTCCTCGTGAGCCACGCCTACTCTAATGTACATAGCTAGACCACCTTCTCCGCCTTTAGTGACGCCAGGTCGATCTGACCTTAGACATGTGTACCCAGGAAGTTTAACGTCGCCGTTATTCGGACCTAGTTTCGTTTCTTGTAAACACAAGACGTCATAGGACCCTTTGCTAAGATGGTGACGTAGTTCGGTCGCCCTGGCCCGAATGCCATTTAGATTAAGTTGAAGTACCGTTAGCTTACCCTCCATTTAAGAGCCGGAGAGATACACTCGGTGACTCCAACAGTCTAAATTAGCAGTCCTCACCCTGAATATTGACAATAGCCTCAACATGTTGAGGTTGGCCTGATGGGAGGACCCCCTTGGGGGATGACGTCACCGTCATTTGGAACCGCTTTCGGGCCAGTTCCGATCGCTCCACATCGTTCGTACTCCGACTCCGGTGTCGTAGTGCCTTTCTGGGTGTGCTGACTTCTGGGGATTTGGCCGAATCGGAGTCGCCCTCATCCTCAGATGTCATTTTGCGCTTGAGTGGGGTATTCCTACTCACGGACTTTTTCGGGCCTTGGGTAAGGTTCTGAACATACTTTGCCATGGTTTGAGACAAGGCAGCAACTAGGTCGTTATTGTCGGTGCTGCCTTTCGTGGCCAACACCAGTTCCGTGCAGAACATAACAAAGCCTTTTTCGTTTCTGAACTGGGGAACGAATCCTCCCACAGCTTTGGGTACTTTGG